GGGAACTGTATATTTAGGTTTGATAATGAATATGAAACATTAGTTTATCTATCAAATGATAACACATTATATGCAGATGATCTTAATTTCATATTACCATTAATCTCAACTGATAATCGTCTAATACAAACACTACTACTAGTTTCATGCTAGAGACCTATCCTAAATTACAGAATCTATATAATAGGTAAAGATAATATATGATTTAAGACATACCTTTTTCATTTTCATTTGATGATTTTAATCTATACTCTGAATATAAACCTTTATTCTAAATCGCAGTTGTACCTATTATGTGAATCTATTTAAAATAAATTATTTATACATCAGGTCTAGAATAAATTAGCCTTTTATTTTAGCATAATCATCTTATGCAAATATATTATAATATTAAAAATTACCAAATGTTGTTACATAATATTAAATAAAACATTTTAAAAATATTAAACTTATCTTAAATATATCATTTTCCATTCCTAATCATAGATTCTAAAATAATATTCTAACTCAATGGTCTTAAATTACCTGTGTATATTGTGGAAGACTCTTATATTCTTAAAAGGCTTCTTAGATAGCCTATGATTCTTCGATTACTTATCCCTTAGAATAGCATGTATCAGGTGTTACTTTATCTTTCAACCCTAATTAAATAGGATCACTAATCTAAGAATTTCTACATGTGACTCTTGTAAGAAATTTTTAATAAGATATGCCTTTCCTCATCTATCTTTAATACTAAATGAAATCAGTTCAGTTTCTCTTCATAAAGAAAACACTTATCACTTATATATTTACATTGTTTCTTAGAAAGAACTTCTAATAGTAATCTATATTCAGAATATAGAAGTTTAACTAGTGCATGCAATAAACTATTTACAAAATGTTAAAGCATATGCCCTTTACTTTGAAACTTTAAGTGCTTTTTTAAAACCAAATGACAATAATAATGATAATAATATTTATCTAATTTATAATGAGACTATACAACGAGTTGCTATTTGATTATCATGTAATAATCTTTACTTTCAACTATTTGCTGAAATGTTATTCTTAAACCAAAAACCAAATATAAATAGTCCTTTTCTAATAGCTATACATCTTAATACTGATACTAATACACCTCTAATCAATTCTCAAAAGATTATCATACCTAATTATAACTATTCTGATAAAGTACATAATGAAGATTTTCACTATACGAAATTAATAGTGAGTTTTATTCAGGAAAATGATAACTTACGTATATCAAACTTTATATATGATTCTTATTTAGAATCTCTACTTTTATCTGATCTGTTTACAGATAGAAAAGAATATTTTCATGATATAGCAGACCAGTCTTCATAAAATACTAATGAAACTTATGATGAGACCTATGGTAAGTATATCAAATTACATCTTATGAATATAGATCTAAAATGGAGGTTACATCATTATTAGTCTTTTTAGTCCTACCTTCAACTAGAGAAATTAAGGTATCATCAAAATATCCAACGTCTTATACGATATTCTCAATTAAACTTTAATTATATAGTAAATCTCCCTTTCATTAGAGATCTACTCTAACTTAATGCTTACATTTTATGAAATATTATTAATGAAAATTTGTCATTTTCTATACTAACTTTTGTACAAACAGAAAATATATATTTTCAGCAAAAGCAACTTCACCTAAATGCAATGTTACAAAAAAATAGCCTTTCAACTTTGTTTATAACTCTCAGTATGGCTGAGAACTGATGGACTCACCTGTGTAATATTCTATTTAATAGTAATAATGGTGATACCTTACTTACAAATAGACCTTTTTATTATGTAAATTATTTTGTATACAAGTTTCAGTCATTAAAAAAAGAATTATATAAATAACCACTTCTTATAGGATTTAGTGAAATTACAGATTTCTTTAATCATGTTGAATTTTAAAATCAAGGTGTAACACATACACATAATTATTATTGGACAACTAATACTATTGAAACTATGATTATAAATGATATAATTTGATCTATAATACCAGATTCTATATACGAACCTAAACTCTATGCTGTTATAATTGTTAATCAAATTCATACTTATAATCAAAAATATTAAAGTTTAGTACCACTAGGTCATACTTGAAAAAAGGATTTTTACGACTTTTTAATGAAACAATATATTATAAAGAAGGTAATTCTCGCTATATTTATAAATGCTTAACTGAAGCTATAGATGGGTTGTTCCTTACAATCTAAATATTCTCTTAATCTAAAACACGTATATAAATGCTCAATATATAACAAATAAAGTATTTGCACACTATATGATGAAATATATTACTAAAAGAGAATCATCACATGTGTTTAATATCTGTGAAAATGATTTATTAAGAGAATATATTGTTACACATTGTCTTGATTTAATGGAGCTCATATTCTTGCTTTTAGATTATTTATTCTGCAATTTTTTAAAAACTGTAAAGTTCATTATTACTGAACCTCCTCCTACTTATTCACATGTAATACTTCCTATCTATATATTAGATAAAGATAATGAAAACCCTTATTATGATGATACAATCATGAAATATTTTATATGTTTATATCTTTCTGAATTTGAGAATCTTACTTACTCTTAGTATTATAAACGATATTTTATTACCCTTTATCTTCTCAAATCACATTACGTTAAATCTTTCATGATCTTCTAAATAATTATGTGGTAAAAAGAACAAAAGATATTTTAATAAGATACCGATTTCTCAAGTTAGAGGATGAAGAGCTCTACTTTTATCAAAAGTTGCTTTTAAATATTCTTATAAGAAGCGAATCAGACTATATCACAGAAGGAGAAACTTATTATAATAAGTTTTTATCATTAATTCCTAATTTTCTAAATGATTTACAAAAATACATTACAACTACATATCAATCTCGAATAATTCATTTCAATACTCAATTTTCAGAAATGCTAAATAGATTATTGCAAACATTATATCAGTAACTTCTTGCAAATCTTTTATATATCATTCAAATTCAGATAAAGAACTTGAAAATTTTTCTGCATATTTTTCCTAAAACAACTATGCTTGAATTACCACAAGATTAATACCATATCTTATCAACTATTTCTATATATATAGAAAAAAAATGATAAAATAAAGTAGCCTTACTTCTTTATTACAGGACTAGAAGGTACAGAAAAGTCTTATATTATTAATTTAATTATTAACATGCTCAATCAAAGATATTCAAAATTCTCTATTAGCTTCAACTAGAGTAGCTACTCAAAATATAGGTGAAAAACAATCCATTTAACATTACGTATTGTATCATCTTTAGGAGGTTTTTACATATGTGCTTTTGCTAATGAAAAATTAAAGAATTTTTTAAAAACTATAAATACTCTTATCATTGATGAGATTTCTATAACTTCTGCAGAATTATTTGACTTTATTTCTAATATTTTTGCATCTCTTCATAGTAATGCTATTATTTTCAGTGGTATAAATATTATAGTAGTTAGTGATCTTACCTAACTTTTTCCTGTAACTGGATAATATTTATTTCGAGCTACTACTTGGACTTTATTCTATCCTCTTTTCTTAAAGATTCCATAACATCAACAGGCAGATATGAGATTTTTTCATATATTAAAAGAAATTTGTATGGGTAATATTTCAGAAAATACCTGGAATATATTACAACAACGTTATTCAGAATTCTTATCTCATCCTGCAATCGATATACTTCTCAATACTACTAATATTATAGGTTTTAAAGAAAATGCGCAAACAATCAATAGGATGATTTGCAATATACTTCCTGTTTTACATGATCATTTTCATATCTCACAAGCATCAGACTTTGTTAGTTCTGCAAGTTAGGCTCCTTCTTTATCTGATAAGATGTTTAAAACAAAAACAAATTTTCCCTTGAGTGTACGTTTACAACCAGGCGCCTGTGTTATGTATCTTAATAATTCATTAATTGATCAAAGTATATGTAATGATACTGTAGGTGTGATTACAGATGTAAATATAGCAAATGAATGTGTTTGTATTGCTTTTTCAGTTCAAGATCCTATATTTAATGTTGACGTTTACAAACAAACTCATTATTTTAATATAAATGGAAATAACTATTCTTACTCACAATTTTCTTTACAGAATTCATTCGCCTTAACAGTTCATAAAACCCAAGAATTAACTTTACTAAGAGTCTTTCTTGCATTAGATGGAAACATCTTTGCTCCTGGTCAGGCTTATGTTGCACTTAATAGATGCTCTACTTGGAATAATGTTGAGATATCTCATCTTGACAAATCAGCTTTCATGACTGATCCTAAAGTTAATTTAGAATACCAAAGATTAGCTACTATTTCAGAGACAAATCTTCATACATTTTCACAACTTCTTACACAATTCAATTAAACAAAATTAATAAAAAAAGGATAGTATTTATTTAAATTAAAAAATATATGATTATATTATAAATGAATGATCAAATATAAAAAAAATAAAATAATGAATTATTAAAAAAAAAAATAAAACGAATTGCTAAAATCAAATAAATTCATTAAGTAAATTACTTTTATTTAAATTACAAAATTATTTAAATATAATTTAAAAATTTAATAATTTAAAAACTCATATGTAACACAACCACAATCATACGAATCTTGTGATCATACCAGTTAGCCAGTGGGTACTGAAAAAAATGTACTGGCTAGTTACATAGTAAAAAAACAGAGGGATGACACATTATTTATGGTCACGTGGATAGGAAAGACATGATAAATGTGTTTTATTAATATTCTTATTTACTAATTGTCATACTTATTTACATAAAACGATAAGATAATGATACAAAAAATCTAAACTTAATTATATAGCTATACTTAACATTTAATTAAATATATGAATAATAATAATAATATATGTTCCAAATGAGATTCTGATTGTATATACAGGTCCATGAACAATATGGAAATTTAAATCAAGTAAACTTGAGTAGTTTCATTTACCAATAAAATAGGTCGGTTCGTTGCATTTTGGATTGAATATCTCTAACAGCTGAAATGGCCAAAGTATTTCCATTAACAGAAGCTTTTTGATAAAATTCCAATGCTTTGTTCCAATCTATACCAGCTCCAATACCAAAGTCATAGCATCGTCCAAGGTGGTAGTGACCCATGTCATAATTTTGATCGGAGGCCATTCGAAACCATTTAAAAGCTTCGCGATCATTCTTTTCAATATCCGAACCTAATTCATACGCTTGTCCTAACTGAACTTGACTAAAATGACATCCTTCCATGGCTGCTGTTTTAAAGTATTCAATTGCTTTATACGTATTTACCGAAGTACCTATTCCATATTTATAACAGGTTCCCACTTTATGCAATGCAGCTGTAATTCCATGATCTGCTGCTTTTATGTACCAAGAAAATCCCTTACTTTCATCCTTTTCACATCCGTTCCCAATCTCATAAAACCTTCCTAAAGTATAATAACCATAATTATCACCCGCTACTGCGGATTTTTCAATCCAATAAAAAGCTTTTTCCTTATCAACTGCCACACCCATTCCCATATCATTACATAATCCTATCTTCTTATAAGCTGGTGCAAATCCACCTTGGGCAGATTTCTCATAAAATTTATAAGCTTCCGTCATGTTTTTGGAGATTCCTTGACCACAAAGTGAACATTCCCCTGCCACATAAGCCGCAAACGTATCCTTTGATGACGCTTCTTTATACAATTCAAATGCTTTTCGTGAATTTACAGGAGTTCCAATGCCGAGTTGATGAAATAACGCTAATAGTACCTTGTTGATCGTAAAGGATTGTTTTGCATCAATATATTCTAATATTTTACTTTCACTCTGACCTGCTTTGTTTATATAATCTAATATGTAAGCATCATTTAGGTTGGAAAGTTCCATCTTACAATTGGCTACTTTATCATAAAATTCATTATACATTTCAGTAATGAAATCTTGAGTTATTAAAGGAGATGAAATAGCTGGTAAGTTTCTTGGATATGTAGGAGGTGGTTTAATCGGATTATGAGGTGAAGTATATGTATAAGAGGTCGATTGGGGAATGACGATATCGGGTTCAGGTGTAAGGTATGAGATTGGTTGAGGAATGGCATCTGATTTTTTTGAGGGTGGTGCATTAATATTTTGAGTTTCCTGATGCGTTGATTGGTAAACAAATGTAGGTGGTGGTTGTGAAGGACCTTCGTGATTTAACGAGGATTTATTTTTCTTTCTAATAGAACCGATGAATCTAGGTTTATTTCTCGTCGTATTAGAACGATGTATACTATGTACGCTAAGTGTACTTTGCATTCTCTGTGAACTTGACACGTTATTTACACTTTGTAAAGCATCATATAAATTTTTAACAACTTCTTGTATATTTGGTCGATCATTCGACACCTTACGGCAACAATCTATGTAAAACGATAAAAACAAATCGTAAGTATCACGTGATTCAAAAAAATTTTCGTCAAAAAATGAACCGCACCTTTACAGATTTGCTTGTACTTATCCTGTACATTTTCCGGTGGATAATATTTCAAGTACTTTTCCCAATCCCCATCAAATGTACTTTTGACGTTTTGCGTAAGTTGAAATAAAATGCTTCCTAAACAATAAATATCATACTCTTTGGGATACCGACATGATTCACTATCACGTTTCCAAAAACGCAATTTCTTTACAAAGTTGTTTTTTTTAGGAGCCGAATTCCGTTCGAATATACTGTAATTGATCAATTTAATGGTTTCGTTTACATTATCATATAATATATTACCCGTCGTCTATCCAATGAAATTAAATCAATAAATTTTATCATTTTAAAAAGAGAAATTTTATAAGATGATATGCTAAAATTTACCAAATTTTTATGGATGATGTTCCTTTCGTGTAAGAATTTTAAAGCATTCGCAATTTCATAAGCAATCTTAACCTTTTGCTTCCAATCCAATTCATTGAATTGCAAATATTGACCAAGAGTCCTACAATCGACAGATTCAAATACGAGATGATAATCATCCTCAAATCTATCTATTTATATTTGAATTTGGTGTTAAAGATTTTTGATTTAATACCGGAAATAATGCAATAAATTTGATTTACGTCACCTTTAAGAACTCCATAAAATTCTAATATGGAGTTATTCGAACCAGCTTCCTTTATTAATTTAATCTGGGATGAACGACGACGAAAACGAGTATTAGAATTATGGAAAATTGTGTACTATTTATCATAGTAGCTCCCCAAAAAAAATTTCATATATTAACCTCTTGAACGTAATTGCGAATATCAATATTTTCGATGTCAATCCGTTTCAAGATTACAGAATTTCCTCCTTCTTTAACCACGGCGCTTTTAGCCTTCCCGAATCTTTTCGAATCGATGGAACTAACATTTTCAAACTCATCATCCCTATATACTTTAATTTGGTAGAAGATGAGTCTTTCGTCAAGGAATTCAGTTATGGGTGTTTCTATAACTATTTTCCTCATTTTTGACATTATCCTTATATGAATGGTTGTTGAAATAATAAGCAATGATTATTTTTTTTTTTTTGAGAAAAAAAAAAAAATAAAATAAAATAAAAATAAAAATTAGAATAAACAAAAAAAAAAAAAAAATAGAAAATTTGCTATAAATCGGAAGTTCCTATTATTTATCCTATTTGAGTAATATTTGTTTGATCGTTTTATAAGCTATGTACATTTTTTGCTATCAATTATTATTATTATCTTGGCAATACGCCGTAGTATTACTTTATTATTAATATAAATATATTTTCATTTTCATAGTAAACCTATAAAACAGCGATTTTCATTACATATTTACAATAATGGTTACAAAGGTATTATAATAAGTTGCCATTGTTGCAAAATGCAAACACTAAGATTGATTTAGAATAGCATGAATTCTAGACTTTACTGATGAGTAATAATTAATAACTGATAAAGGAAATGCGATCGAAAAATTAAACCTTAATTGCCAATAGATATCACGAAATGGTCGTTCTAAAATGTATAAGTGGGTAAATCGTTCATCTGGACGATCTTCCCCATTTTTGGCAAGTTCATTTAGGAAAATTTGTCATTGAAATCATTGAAATATGATTCGTTCAAATTAAAATCCTCTTTGGAAATCCATTGAATCAATCAAAAGCAAAGGAAATCATTCACATGCGTACTCATGCGAAGAACCACAAGGTAACTAAGGGACACTAAGAAAAAATTTTTTTTGTGCTTTACGAATCATGAGCTTTAATTAATTGAAACATACAAGTTTCTGATAAAAGTTTATCAGGCTTACAAAGGAAAAAAAAAAGAATATTACCAAAACAAAATTCACTTGCAAACTTATAAGATGATGCATTCTCGATTCTTCTATGTAATGACATCATGACATTTTAAAGGTTGTGCCTAACTCCCTTACAAGGGACTTTGTAATACAAAGTCAGAATGGTGGGACAAAGATTCCTAAGAGAAGCGACTCTTCTTTTCGATGGGACTTTTTTTTTCTTGCCTTCAAGACCCACTAGTTTTGAGTTTTATTATAATCTTACCGATTTATCCCTTGGGTTATTTCCTTAATATTTAGCATCTTTGATGCCAACGGATTATGTCAATGACATTCTAAGAACTAAGAAGTTTCCGCGATAAATCAAATATTATTTATAATAATTCTAAAAACAAAGAAGAGAAACGTTTTTCTAAATTGATTGCGCCATAGGCGTTATCAAATAACCATATCAAAATCTTGGTCATTAAATAAAGTTGATTTATATTGATTAATTTTCCTTTCTGAACTTTCCATTATTAGAAAAACTTTTGTTAAATTTTCATTAATCATCTTCAAAACGAATTATCGGAATTTCTCTTTCGTTCAAGATTATGATCTTGTACCAATTAACAGTACAATCAGTAATAACTACGAATTTTTTAAATATAAGTGCCAAATATTGATGATTTTCGAGCCCAGATTTAATATTGACTCATCTTTCATTTTCCCGGCAATTTCCAGTTCCCTTTTTCTATTGCATGTGATACATAAAATTCTCCGAATCCGATTTTCTTCTCTATTTATTTATTTTTTATTTGTTTTTTTTTTTCCGAGATAAATTTAAGAAAAAATGAATTACATTAAACATAATAAAGGGTGATTCTTATTTTACTTAAAAAAAATTCTTTTTTAGTTAAAAGTCTCAAAGATGATGCATGCTAATTCAACATTTTCTGTAAAGTTCAAGCGGCATGTATGATATACCTCCTGATACAACAATCGTTTCAAGAAAGTTGTTATTTGATGATCAAGATGATGATTTCGATGATGATAACGAGGACGTAAAAATGAGATTATTCGAAAGGTTGAATAGGGAAGTTGAAATTGTACAAATGGATGGTAGGATTATAGACAATCAAAGAACCTTTGTTATTAAATTTTTATTATTATTATTATTTTAATGACAATAAATTACCTTAAAAGATGTTGATGAAAATTTAAAGGATCCTCGTGAATTAGAAAATGATGATCATGACCAATGTATGATACTCGGAATCATTTTTCGATAATAAAAGAAAATGAAAATGAAATTTTTTACGATAAAGTATTATTTATCACCAATTAGTATTTCGTTTATTCGCTCGTGATCCTCCTACAAAGATTTCTCTCGAATCAAAGGATATAAAAGATTACGATGAATTAGTCCAACAGATGCGCAGAAAAAAATTTGAAATTGATGAATTAAGGTAAAATTTGTCTTTCAATATTCCTAAATGATTAAATCAATAATATTTATAAATTTTTTTAAAAGTGATGATCCGGAACGTATTGAAAAGATAAATTCAGTAACAATAACATTTGAACAAATTATTCAAGAATCAAAGATTCCTTGGGAGCGTCATTTAATGCCACATAAAGTATTACATGTTCCTTATAAAGAGGCTGAACAAAAATTTAGATCAAAACGAAGGAAAAGCAAAAAGCGAAGAGTTGCCGAGAAAAAAGGTTTCTATTGATTGATACTTTAATGAATGCAGGTATAATATACTTATTTAAATGATTTTATTTAAAAAGGATTAGTTAAGAAACATCAAGGTGGAAAATGTCCCGGTTGGCCGTCAGGTGGCAAAGAATATACATATGGGTGGAAGTCAAGTGCTGAAATTCGTAATGTACCTGGAAGAAAGGATTCGAAAATTTTTCGTGGAAGAACAAATTTTAATAGAGATAGAATAGGTAGCTTTGGTAGGCAAGATCATAGAGGAACGCGAAGAAAGTAAAATATTTCAAAACAAAACCCATTGCAAACCTATTCAAGTAACGTCAAGAAAATATTTCTTGAGAAGAGATTTCAATTTTATATAATTTAAATGAATCTATACAACTGCAATAACTACGTCGTTTTATTTAATTAAAAGAATAGATTTGCGTAATTCTTTAGCAGGTTCAGAAATACTAGCTAAAGGATCTTTTTCTGCCACATCAATAATTTCCAACAGTTTGGTTTTAACCGAAGAAGATAGTAATGAAGTGTCTATATGACAAAATTAAGAACTGGTTAATTACATCAAATCATTAAAGATATGCATTCTTTAAGAAACTATTTTAAAAAATTACCTTTAACTTTATCAATAACTTTCTTCAAACTGGCTAAACTTGCAGTACGAATTGCCACGTATTTTGTATCCAATAATCCTTCTTTCAATCCTTCAAATATACTAATTAAAGTTTCATCATCAAGTACTTGAACTTGCGGTCCACTAAGGTCCAACTTGTAGATAAATTTTTCAAGAGATTCTAATACACACAAACGTACATTCCATACATTTTTACCGGATTTCAAAGAACTTGCCAGTAATGTACCAAGTTCTTTAGAATGTTGTACTATGAAGAATAATGAAATAAATTAAATTACAGACTATTAGGATTTTGATATATGAAACTATAAATATTCTTACTTTGAATTTCCTTTTTCTTTGACCAAACTAATCCAAGACACTTCACTGCACTTGCTTTGACTAATAAAAATAATGGACGTTCATTTGCATCATCTACTTCCATTTCGTCAGGATCTAGTTCAGCTGTTGCCAATTCAAACAAAAAATTTTTGACTTCGGGATAAAGTTCTAACGTATCACTATAAGCATCGGCAAATTTCCCAAGATTTTCAATACAACTACGTTGGTATTTTCTATTTGATTTTTTGCTTTCACGTATAAGAACCTAAGATTGCAAACAATTAAACATATAGCATGATAAAAGGAATTAGCAAATCGTTTATAATATAATCAAAAAAGGTAATGACTAGTCAAAGATTTAAATACTTTAGATAAAGTATCCAACTGAGCACGATTTTCATCACTTTCAAAATATTTTCGACAAGAAACAGAAGCTGCTGCCAATGCTTCGACAAGAGCTTCTTTTCCAGCCCAAGTTCTTCCCGATAATCCATCTAACAACAATGGGAGAACTTTATCCATATGTGGTATCAGGCTTTGTTCTAAAATATAAATGATCAATTTCTTGTTTAAAAAAGGGATGAGCATTTTATAAGTATAATTATATGAGGTAAATGAAAACCTATTGATTTAGCAACATCTGCCATTGTTAATGCAGCTTGTCTTTTGGTAGGCCACGAAGGAGACTCCAACAAGGTTGACAATAGAATAATTATTTCATTTAAGTATAATTTAATTGTTCCCGTAGATCCTATAAATAAAATTATATATAATATAGCATAAACAACCTCTTATAACATTAAAAATTACTAATAAATGTTCATACCGGAAGCATTATCTTCCCAGATTTCGTTCCACACACTTTTGATGCTCGAATCAGAATCATGTTTGCCATAATAAGCAAGTGGTAAAACTTCCACATAAATTCTTTTCAGTTCATCAGATGCATGCTTTGATATTTCATGTATTGTAATTCCTGTAATAGATCTGACTTCATCCTCTATGAAAATCATTAAAATATAAAATTAAAAAATTTGCTTATAATACTAATTATTCATGAATATTCACACGCACCGCTATTTTCACAATAAATTTTTTTCAAATGCTCGATAAATTTGATTAAAGTATTATCAGAGGCCAAATGTGCAACATATCCAACAGACACAGCATATGACTTGCGAACTGCGGGAGAAACATCAAGGATAGCACCACTTAGAGCCTTCAAATAAGTATTGGCATGAGGTCTTACTATTTCGGCTTTTTTAAGACACATCGATACTACAAATCTCGCGCAACCAGCCTAATATCATTTAAACAAATTCTTTTAAATAAATAATCTAAAGCATTTGTTTTAAAAATTAATTTCATATACCTTAGTTGGTAAACCAACTCCTTTACGTATAAGGTTAATTAATATAGGTGTTAAATCTATTATGACTTTTTCATCGATATAATCGATACATGATTCGATTCCTTCCATCATTGGAGAATTTTTAGCAGCCGACAAACGCGAGTTTTCGAGCTATAAAGGCGGAAACATA